CAAAATAAATAAAAAAAAATTGAGAATTTAAAAACCTGCGAATAGGGGTTGTAAAAAAAAGTAAGGAAACAAGGCTGGAGATATTGTAAACATTATTTACTCAAACTAAAAATTCCTATATTGACTCCACCAAATGTAATTCTAGGTAAAAACATGGAGCCAAAATATGGGTTTGTAGTTTGAGTAAATAATGTTTACAATATCTCCAGCCTTGTTTCCTTACTTTTTTACAACCCCTATTCGCAGGTTTTTAAATTCTCAATTTTTTTTTATTTATTTTGTTTAATAAAAGCTACTTATTTATTAAAAAATATTTGAAAAATAAAATCATTCTGTTTTATAGTATATATCAAAAATACAATATAAAAGTAGAAATATCAAGATTTTTACATATATGACCAATAAAATAAATATATAATCCCCATTTTTTTGTAATTTCATGGATAATCCTTAGGTTTCATTTTTTATCTCCCATAAAAAATATTCTGAGCAAATACAAAAATCAAATGATAGAACTAAAAATTTCACCTGTAGGAAAGTTATGAGTTTCTGCTGTAAAAATGATATGTTGTTTTTCAGACCTGGTTTGAAAGACACTGGATTCAGTGGTATCAGAAGGAAACAATTCTGTAACTTCGTAACCTAAAATAGCACTACATGGAAAAAAACAACAACACTGATTTAGTCTATCTATGTATCCCAAAATGAACAACCCAATACCTTCACATGAAATTAAAAATTGAAAACAAAATTAATTCATACGAATAATATTTTCAAAAAGCTTATTTATGGAAAGGGATTTTTAAGCAAAACTGTGCATGAAAGTTTAACAGAGAACCAAGTAAGAAAGCCACATCTGGATCACAGTAGCCTCAGTTGATACTGAACTGCAGTTTAACAGATGCACTTACTACAAATGACAAATAGACAGCATGTAACTACTTTTCTTCAAGAAAGTTTTTTCAATGCATCAAACTGTCCCCACATATTTTAGTCTGCAGTCAAAAATAGGGTTATTGCATCTATATAAATATAATAGTACTGTATGTTGTATGTCCACGTAACTACTTTGCAGGGTGTGAAGGTCATTGGGTCCATGTGTGGGTACATACAAATTTTCGGTTTTGCATTTTCACATTTTTTTTTACCACTACTACACTCCCTATGGATGGATCTTCACCAAATTTAGTATGGAGGTTCATTGGGTACATGGAGAGATACATACAAATTTTCAGTTTTACATTTTGTAGGTTTTATGAGCATTTATGCATTTTTTACCACTACCTCACCTTCTGTGGATGGATCTTCACCAAATTTGGTGTGAAGATTCAATGGATCCATGGAAAGATGCATAAAAATTTGAGGTCTTTCATTTTGTGTTTTGCAGTTTTATGGGCATTATTGTGTTTTTTACAATTACAAATAAGGAAAGCAACTTTTCATGTACTAAGATAACCTTTCATTAATCATGAATTTACATAACTTCCATCCAGGGGGCAGGTACTCCAGCTAGTATACTATAAACTATTGGCCAATCACAATTCAAACCAACAGTCAGAAATATTCACAATATGGGCCATACAATGGTACGTATCTATATAAAGTAATGTTGAAATAAATGAATTTTTAAGCAAAGATATTTACTTTATTTGATATAGTGATTTCTATCTCTAATGTTCAACTATTAAAGTCCTAATTTATAAGCTAATTACCTAGATTCTCATTTATTTATGTATTATGATTTAAACTGTCTTTATCTGAGTATACATAATATATGAAAAGTTACAATAGCTGTTGCATCAATGATTTCTTCACTAGATAACTAATTTCTTGTTTTGCTAGAAATATGTATAGACTGTAAAGTGCCTGATATAATACTCTGTAAAATCAGATGCTGTTGCAAAAAATAAGACAACTAATAACAAGTATATATATAAGGTACAAAAATAATAAACTTGAAGTTAACAAAACGTTTGTTAGATGCAACAAAAATGAATAACTTAAGGAGTTCTTGAATATTTTATTTATTTTCTGATAAGAAAATTTACACTGTAAAGCCTGAGGAAACTGGATTCTGTAGATACAACATACATAATAGAATGGTGTAACTCACTTTTGATGGTGTAAAACATCTCTTTCAAATGTAAATTAACTGAGCTTCATTAATCATTGAAGGTGAATATTTTGTTTGTCTCTCTCTTATAGCAAGTATAAACTATATTCAGAATGTTGTCATCTTCCCATAAGCTAACCCAGTTCACAATAAATACTTGCACTGGATGAATCAAAACACATCTTTTCAAGCTACGAGGTCATATACAATTCTATGTACTGCACAAGGTTTGTAAAGTGCTTCAATAAAGTGTTAAAAAATACAAAGATGCATAGTAATCAAACTATCTGGAAGATCTTGAACACCTTTAGTTATTATAGAAGACATAAAAAAGAAAGTTAATACATTATATATGTAATATGGATGCACAAATGTTTAATAGTGTGACTGTTAGTTTATAAAGATTTTTGCTCAAAGAAGGTTTTTAACATCATGTTTGGTTATATACAAGCCTGTAAGTTACTAACTTTTAGAATGAGATAGTAACAACAATCATAAGAAGAAAGGAATTAATATATGTTTTAAAAAAGGAATTCAAGATTGTTAAAAATTATATATATTTAATTAAACATCCCCATTTTTAAAATGTCACAAAATAACAAAGATATATATATATATATATATATATATATATAACTATTCCAGCTA